GACCTGGGAGCCGGTGGATGATATGATGGAGCATTACCGAGAACTTTTCCAAGAACGAGCAGTAGACTTTGAGGATGAAGTCTGAAATAAGTGGGGGAGATTTGTAGCACCCGGTTCCTGGTATGTATTTTATTTAAGTATTTTGCATTTTTGGCTTGGGACTCGACGAGTTGAAGGCCCAAATCGCTTAGTAGAAGTGGGATGGGACGCGGGATTTAAGCAGTGGACTCGTCGAGTAGGCTCTCGCTGGACAAAACCCTAATATGAGGGTTTGCACCCTATTTAATCATCTCTTTCAGCCACCACTCATCCCTATTGTTCCCAGAAACCCTCCATTAGAAACCCTATGTGTTTTGGTGCAAGATCTAAGGGTTTTGAGTGATTTTTGTGGGTTTTGACCTCAAGGAAGAAGGAAGAGCATAAAAGGATCAAGAGGAGACTGAAGGATTCGTGGGGACATCATTTGCAGTCTTTGAAAGGTATAAAGTCTATACATTGCTTACTTATTTGTTAGATCCTATTTGGGGGAAGATTTAGGGCTTTTAAGCCATATGAGGTGACCAACCATGATTTGCAAACATGGTTGGGGGTCAAGACTTCGGATCTAGCACTTGGGAAGAGTCACAAGACAGATTGGAGTTGCTTTTGCACTCAAGGAAGGTCCCATGCATTATAAGAACCTTTTTAGGGCCTTTTAGGCTCAAAAGTCCCATGCATGCACGTAAAGTTCGTAACTTTATGTGCTAGATTGAGCTTAGGGGCTTGGATCTATCATTTAGACAAGTGTTGTACATCAAAAATCGAGGATTTAGGGTGTGGACGTTATCGAATCGGCGAGTCCGTTCTTGGGACTCGATGAGTCCAAGGCATAATGTCCCAAATCTATTGAGGGTCAAAAGAACTCAGTTGGGTGTTAGAAGGGTTGTAGCAGGTCAGAAGGAGTGGCCCAACACATTGGACTTAGCTTTAGACCTGGAGTTCATGAGACTCGACGAGTGCAAGAACAGACTTGACGAGTCCAAGGCAATCTCCTTATGGTTGAAGATGAACTCAACGAGTTGGTCATACAACTCGGAGAATCAAGGTTAGGACTTGTTCATACAACTCATCGAGTCGGATGAAGGTTCATTCGATGTTCATATAGAAGAGGAACTCATCGAGTCGTTGCCAAACTCGCCGAGTCGAGTCGTGGATAAGTACGGGTAAAGGGTTAGGGACTCGATGAGTTGACGACCCAACTCAGCGAGTCGGGTCAACTTGAAGTTGACTTTGACTGAACTTGAACTAACCATGTTTAGGGTTGCACGTTCTATGTGGTGACTTGAAGGTTGTCGTGTAGGGATCGAGGAGTCGAAGTGAGTCGACTTGTATGCCTAGGATAGTTCAAACACTGCACGACATTGAGGTGAGTTACCTTCCAGTACGGGTGGGTCTAAGGCCACATTGTCGGCCCACCAAAGAGGGGTATTTAGAAGATGATTGTCTTTGTGGTAATTATCTTGGTCTGGTTATATGCTTTGGTCATGATTTTTATCTGTATGATATGTTATGTGTATAGTATGGATTAGTTTTCCCTGACAGCGGTCCTTAGGGCCGAAGGGTAGGTCAGTACCCGGATATGCCTGACTGTATGTTTATATCTTGTTGTTGTATGCTAGTGGTAGGGGTGGAATAGTCCCCAATTACCGGTTGAAAGATACCAATGACAGTTCCCGGTTGAAAGATACCGATGATGATTATCGGTTGAAAGATACCGACGATGATTACCAGTTGAAAGATACCGATGATAATTACCGGTTGAAAGATACCGATGGAAGTTACCGGTTGAAAGATACCGACGATATTGTATGGTATGTGGTATGATGGGGGAACTCACTAAGCTTTGTGATTATGGTTTTCGTTTTGGTTTTAGGTACCTCTTCGTTTAAGGGGAAGGAGCTGGCGGCGTAGCATCGCATCACACACACACAATTCCACATCAGCGTAACATCGCATCACACCCTACTCAGTCCCTTCATGAGGGGATCTGTTGGGTTCTCATCTAATGATACCCACTTTGCCACGAGGAGTCCCTCTTATAGCATATCGTATAATATCTCATAACACATAATGTAAGGGTATTTTAGGAAATCACTGTTCGGGCGCTGGCTGATCGTACACACTGCTCTGTTCTGCCTTTCTCAAAATCTTTTACTCTTTTAGAAAAAATGTTTCTTTTCTGAAAATTTTCCTTAAATCCTCAGTTTGAGTTCAGATACACCCGAAGGTGCATCCGAATCCTTGAAACCAAGGCTCTTATACCAACTTGTAACGACATAAAAATTAAAACAAATTTCCATTTTTCAAACAACATAAAACTCATTCAGTATTCTCAAATCTCATTTTTTACAAATGTCATCATGATAAAAACATATCCCAAGATCATAAAATAAATATTCTGCCAGTGTGTACGGATCATGTTGGCGCCTTCCCGCAATCCTCGCTAGTACCTGAAACACATAACACATAACACTTGTAAGCATAAATGCTTAGTGAGTTCCCCAAAATACCACATACAACACATACACCACTCAAGGCCATAGCTCTATGGGACCTTCCGGTCCATGTATCTCAGGGGACTTCCATCCCAACCCTGGTAGACCTTCCAGTCCTACATGTAATGACCTTCCGGTCCATACACTGTTGACCTTCTGGTCCATAACAAGATGACCTTCCGGTCCAAATACATACTACTCATAACATAACATAACACATACATATCACATAACATATATCACATACTCTTCATAGCAAATTGGACATTCCGGTCACACATAATTACCACTCTAGGTAATGTATAGTAAGAAGACTCACCTCGTATGCTGTCTACTAACTTACGTGCTCGGTATCCCTGAACCTCGTAACAATGATCTAGCCCCGCCTAAACACATAATCAATCATCTCAAATCAATAACGGATCTCCAGGCTAGAATAGTCCTTTCCAATGTTCTCTCAGGAGGCTAAAATACCATTTTACCCTTTTAATGGTCCAAAAGTCCAAGTGTTAACCCAACCCTAAAAGTCAACGAAAGTCAACTATAGTTAATGGTCAAACTTTAACCCAACTCATCGAGTTCACTAGTGTGACTCGGTGAGTCCATGCGTGTCCTCATAATCCTCATAAATCCTCACTCGCCTCACCGAGTTAACCTTTCGCTCGACGGGTTACCACTGGTCATGAATCATGGGGCAACCCGACTCGACTCGTCGACTCCCTTTATGGACTCGACGAGTTCCTTCCACGGCAACACTCAAATGACCTTTTGAGATAATATCTATTTCTCTAACCTACATATTTGACTTACAAAGGCTCAATAACTACGTAAAGGTCCAATCTTTACACCCATGCAACACATATAAGACTCTTTTAGGTGAAATAGCTTCTAAAATGGCAACCTAGGTTCATATCTCTAATGGAACAACATAAAGCAGGGAGGTTGGGGCTCTTTGGACCTCTCAAGGTCTAGATCCAGAGTTTAACACTCAAAGGGACATCATAAGCATCATAACCAAGCCAATAAAGGGTAGAGAAAACCCTAGATTCAAGGGTTCTACACCAAAACAGAAGAAGGATCGATTTAATACCTCAAAGATGGAGTTCCTTGCTTGAAACCACAAAATAGCAACCCCCCTGATCTTCTTTTGCTGGAATCTCCCTCTTCTTTGCAAAAACCACACCAACAAGGATCAAAATAACCCTTCTTCTCACACTACACAATCAAGCTCACTAGGGTTTCTCTCTTTGGACTGGTAGCCGCAAATGAGGGCCATAAGGTCCCTTAAATAGGGCACAGGCCCGAGGATTTAGGGTTTCCACCCACAGCGCGGACTCGTCGAGTACACCCATCGACTCGTCGAGTACATCCATCGACTCGTCGAGTCCGTTCATTAATCCAGTCAGCAAATCGCGATCTTACTCGACGAGTCTAGGCGTCAACTCGTCGAGTCACTCCTCATAACTCAAAATAAACAATTTAAATATGGTACCTGAAAATCCGGATGTTATACTGAACATCTCTATATCAGAAAAGTTGAATATCTTTAAAAGGCAGTGTGCATAACCGCAAATTTAATATGCAGATGTAGTAATTATATCAAATTGAAAACAGATACAAAGATTAAATTGTAAGAAAAGAATAGTATATTTTGTTAAATAATTTGAATCGCACTCTTTGTACGGATTATATCTTTATAATTGTTATGATTCACGGGTTGATTTTTATTGTTTTGTTTATATATTGTAATTTAAGATGGTTTACGTAGTAATTGTGGTGGTGTTCGAATACCAAGATGTTAGATGCGATTACTTTATTATTATTTAATGGTGTGGTTCTTGCATTTAATAGGATGCGTGCCTTCTTTTTTATGGATAAAAACACTTTTTTGGTGTGGTTGTCATATTTTTTTGATGCGGTTTTATAAATAGAGAAAGTTTTCCATCTCCTGGGACTGGTCAACGAAATTGTTTTCCATGAGAAACATCATTCTCGTGAAGCTGTTCGGGAGAATCTAAAGGATAGATGTAGTAGGGAGAACTGTGGTCAATGGCAGTGGTGGAGGTCTCCCTTGTACTGTCTTTGTTTTTGGGATCATCTCCCCCCATGCTTCAGGATCGGTTGGATTCTTGAATCTAAAGCTTTGAAAGCTGCTCTGATACCATCTAGAATTCTGATGTTATCAGGAACAAACTTCTTTATTGATCAATGTTAATCTATGAAACGTGATACAAGGTAAATAAATACTAATTACGATACTTAACAAACTAAGCTAAACAATATGAATAGCATAAACATTAGAAACTATTATTATCCTACATCATCTTATAAATATTGAGAAAACGTTTTTTTTCGTTTGAACGGGTTGTTTATTATGAACGAACTTGCAAGACATTAAGGGTTACACTTTTTATCAATAAAACTTAAAACAACAAGCAGAGTGATTTGAACGTACACATGAAAAGTTTATTTTCTAGTCAATGAAATGACCAAAGTAAAATGTCTTGTCTTCTTCCTTGTAAGGTGTTCTGCCACTTGCTTTTCCATGTTCTCAAATAGCACATTAGTATTCATTAAATCCCTGAAATGAGATACGAGCAACGATTCTGTAACAGCTCTCATAAACATTGCAGTGTTTTTCCCATGCATACAGCATTGCTCATTCAAAGCTTTCATACTCGTGTAGTCTCTATCATATGGATCCCAGTTTAGTTGAAAAGCATTGAGGGTATCAAGAGAAAACGATCCCTCGTCGTGAATAACATTCCTGACTTCATCCTCACATGGAAAATAAACAGGGGCATTAAATGTGTTGATATCTGATTCTTGAACCAGCTTCTATAGATATATAGTTTTTACATGATAAAAATATAAATGGTTACTAAATCTGAACAAAACATTATTAGTTAATTAGTTTGTGGTCGTATATATGTGAACATGGTGAAGAACCATATACCTCTTTGGCCATATTGTGAAGCGATTGCCCTAGTAGCCCCCACAAACTGCAACAATCACCATGCACCCACCACGTACTATTTCACTAGAGCGCATTTGTAAGAACATTTTCATGTCGGTATGAAATTGCTTTCTATACGCTTCAAACACATTTGGAGGACTTGTTTTAGCCATGTATATGTTTTCTTTGTTGTTTTCAATGCCCTCAGGTACCTACCTATCACATACTCAATTTCAATGATTTTGTTTTTGTTTTTTTAGTATCCAAATGCGCTAATTAACCTGAGAAAGCCAGTGAAGAGCGTAAGAGGAGTGAACAAGGTGTAAACTTCCATCTTGAAAGAGTCTACCATAGAAGGAACCCGGAGTAGCAGATACAAAACAACAAATGTTTTCCCCCTTCTCCTTCTTAAGGTTTGCATAAAATTTTGGTAGCAATTGGAAAATTGCGTTGAAATCGTTTCCATAAAGGTCATTTAAGAATATTTGAAATTGTGGTGCTTTATGACGATTATCTTCTCTACAACGCTCAAGGACTACATCAATAATGATAGATACAGCCAATAGCGTATTTGGGCCATTGGAGCATCCTAAATCTGCTATTACGAAACATTTGCTTAGGACTGTATCAAGATTAGCCATACCCTTGACTGCACTCTTTAAAACAGGCAGTGTTTTCCGTATCACAGTTTCCTGAAAAGTATGATTTTGAACACTTTATGAAGCAGATTATGGTATGCTTTAGTGATATATAATGACAAAGATGGATGAAGAAACGAGTTCCTCGCATAGCTTGATTCTCCATTGCCGACATTCATGTGTAGGATGTTGTTAAGTTCCATGCCTGTTAATTTTCATGTGTTGCGGTCAAGTGGCCATTTGTAATATAGATAGGCTTCCCCAAGTTATGAGATCATCTCAAAACGTGACACATGTTTCCTTGAGGTATTACCAAATGCTACTAATTAATTATCAGACGTATTTAGGAAATTGTGCGGCATTTATATAAATAGTCTTTAAAGTAATATGAAAATTCCAAAAATGGTCCTTATGTTTCATAAATTATAGAAAAGGTCTCTTACAAATACGATTCTTATGTTTAAAAAAATACAAACATAGTCCCTTTAAAATAAGGAAACTATATAGTTTTCCCTTATGTTCCATAAAATTGGAGAAACGGTCCATACTTAACAGCGAAATAAAAAAATGATCATCACCATCTCTATCCAATATAAACTTAGGCCTTGTTTGGTAGCCTCTTAATTGGAAAATTAAGAGGCAGCCACTTAATTTTTAAGATGCAGACCGTTTGGTAACATCTGAATATATGTCTCTTAATTTTTCAGATGTGAAGTCGTGTCTGAATTAAAAGAAAGAACGCGCGTTCCTCTTTTGCCCTTTCTTATAATTCGCTTCTTTCCCTCTTCTCTTTCTTTCACAGACGCCGATGACGCCTCCTTTCTTCCCATTGCATCTTCAATAGTTCGATTGCACGATTGCACCCCTCTGTTATTTTCTCCGCCACCAGCCGGCCACCGCTTCTGTCGGTACAGTTAGCGTCGCCGGCAACGAGCCCCTCCAACGAGCCCACTGTGTCGTTGGCTCCCTTTGAACACCAACACCTCCAGGGCCGCCGTTCAACAGCAAGGCAACAGGTATGTGCTTCGTTCTTCTCCAATCCATGATTTATGTATTTTTTTCTCTTGGTTTTCTCCGATCGTTTTCTCATATGATCTAGTGATAGCCCCTTACTCCAATCATTGATTTATATATTCTGATTTATGTGAAGTTTTCTTTGATTTATGTTATTATCTGAAATATATGAATTTTGAAGCATATTATTGTTATTCTTAATGGAGAAGAAGAACCTAATGGTTTGTTATTGGATTTTTGTGGAATTTTTTATGTGTTTATTTCCAACCCTAAATCACAGCAGGTGGCTATGATGTTTTGGTTACAAATTTTCATCCGACATGAAATGTTCTTAAACTTTGATTGATGAATTGGTGTATAATTGTGCTTATATATACACTTAATGTAAATTGTTATGTTTCTTGTCCTCAAAAGCATTTATGGCATATAATTGTGTTATGGAGATTTGATTAATAGTTTAATGTAGACTTTGAAGCACAAAAAGAGCCTAATTTTATCCCTTTGGTTTGTCTATGACAGATAATGTTGAAGCCAGAAGAGAAAGTGTGCAAGACAGGGTTTTATGTGCTACATCTATGGAACTATTCAAATGGAAAATGTGGTTATTAGATGATTATTCTTGAATTTGTTTAATTGATCAAGTTTTGGTTGTTATTATGGTCTTTAGATTGGATTTGCAAGTAATAGATTATGGTCATTAGATAGTTATTCTTGAATTTGTTTAACCGGTCAACTTTCAATTGTGATTATGGTCTTTAGGTTAGCCACATTTTTCCATTTTCATGTTCAAGAACATATTGTGTTTGCATATACTATTTCGTAATTCTTTATACAAAATTGCAAGTGTTTTCTTTTGTATGGTGTTTTTATATTTTTTTTAGTTATTCAAAAAAGTTGGTTTAATTGTTTTATAAACAAAAACAACATATAAGGGTAAATGGTCAATTTTATAATTCAGTATAAGAATTCAGAGGTTCTAACCAAACAACATGTTTAAATTCATATCTTAAAAATTCAGACTTTCTTAGAAATTCAGACCTCTTAAAATTTAAGATCTTAAAAATTCAGATCCTGCCAAACAGCCCCTTACAAATATAGTCACATTTTTCACAAAATGCAAGAAATAAAACTTATGTAAGAGATCATTACACAAATAATATTCAAAATATAAGATTAGCAAACCCGAAGCAACGGAAATGCCACTCCACTAATATTCTGAAGGAGAAAATATGGAAATATGTTATTATTTAAGAATTAAGAGGCCCAACACCCCAACCCATGACAATTGCACTTCCCAAAAAATAAAGGGTCCAATTTTGATTTTCGATCGTTGCCAATAAATTTGTTCGAATCTAACTATATTTAATATTCTAGAAAATAAGTAGTGGGGACGGTATATGGCATGAAAATTGTTGGAATAGGTGTGTAAAGTTATAATAAAATCGTTCAAAGTAAAAATTAAATTGTTATAACTTTATGGGTTGGTTTCATAACTAGAAATAGTTAGAAATAAATTTAGAAAATAGGTAAAATGATTTTTTAAGTTTTACATATGACTTAATGAATTAACTAGAAATTAGTGGAATTAGTTAATTATTGATTAAATTATTCTGGAATTAATTCAGAATTAATTAAAATTAATTAAAGATGCAATCGATGAATTGTAATTGTTGAATAGTTAAACAAAAGAAGTAATTCCAGAACATACTTGAATAGATTAAATATAAATATTTAATTATTCAAATCAATGTTTATCTTGGAGATCCACTAGCTATAAATATGACCTATAAGGTCATAAATTCCATGCCTTCTACCTCACATAAGGTTGATATCGATGTTCTCCTCATCTCTCATCTCTTCGCTTCATTGTATGGTGTCTAAGGTTTTAGGGTTGAGCCGTTATAGGCAGCCATACTTTTGGTGCTAACTTTATGAGGCAGGCATGGGGAATTTAAAGTATTATATACGAATATATCACAAATGTATGTATTCCAATCCATTGATTTTGATTATACTTGGCGTTTCTTTTAGTTTAATAAGTATGTTGCTATTAGTTGATTTCGATTATACCTATTATTTCTTTCTGCGTTACATTGATTATGTAACCTACAAATTCAAACAATGGTATGAGAGCTAGGTCATACAATTATATGTTCATCTTAATTGAAACCTGCACAATAAAAGAAAAAAAACCGTAAAGCGTCCCATGCTTTTCTAAAATTCCATTCTTTGTTTTGGCTTGTGTAATTAGATTAGTAGAGTAAAGTTTAGTCATTATTTGTTATTTTAATTATTAGATTCTGAATCCTATAATGTTAGATGGATTTATAACGCTAACTTGAATTTTAAGGTTAAATAAGGAATTCTAATTTTTAATTATGAGATAATTAAATGGAATTATTCTTAATGAAATTTAATATAATATTTAATTAATGGTTAATCAAATGATAAATATTAATTTCATAAATGGTTTAAATGATTATTTAATTAATTGTTAATTCTAAAAAATTACATTTAAACCTGAAATTTTAAAATGCTTAAAATACACCATATACATATATAAGAGCTTTAATACCCTATGCATAACTAAAAATCGGTCGAATCAATTGTAGGTCTCATTCACGAAGCCACACTATAAGAGAGTTATAAGGAAAATGTCACAACTAGCATTTTTTCTAGGAAATTCTATTCTCATGTAAACATCATCCATTGTAAAAGCCTATACTCTAAGCAAATACTAAACTCTCTTCTAGTTCAAATTCATCTCATATGTGCAAGTAAGGGTTGGAAACCCTAGAAATCCCGGCTCAAGTTCATTGTGGACTAGGATTCTCTTATTGGGCCTAAGGGACCAATAAATCATCAATTCACCAATCTATAACATTTTGGACCATTTGGGCATAGAATGATTCATTCTAACCCTAATGGGCCTTACTGGGCCATAAATAAAATTACTTAGCCCTAATGGACCATAAAACCATTCTTTTATACCATTATGGGCCGAAAAACATTATTGGACCTAGGAAATTCGAATAAAGCCAAGAGAGTGAGCCCAACATCATTTTCCTTCACTCCATTAGGCCCATTCTCGGCCCAAGAAAGAAAAAAAAAATATATGGAAAATGAGGATTTGCCTAACACATGACACCTAATCTTTATTTGTTGGATATCCATGCAAGAGTGCATGTATCCATGCACCTCTCCCACCATCATTAATCAAACTCTATATCTCTCTCTCCCCTCTTATTCTCTCGGCCAAAGGAACACACACACTCCACTTTCAAACCCTCTCAAAAATCATCTCAAAAACTCATCTTTCACCCATAAAAATTTCGAGATTTTGGGTGCTCTCAAGAGGATCTTCATCTAAATCATCATCTTTGGTAAGTACCTACTTGGATCTATGTTTTAACTTCAAGATTCCATCAAAACCTTTTCTTAACCTACATCATTTCATGATCCATACCCTAGAACTCCATAGAACTCGTGATCTACACAAGGGAAGCTTGCAAGAGCCGAAAGCTTCTTCTTTTCTTCACTAAAATCACAATCCACAAGCAAGGTGAGTTCATACCCCCTTGTTTTGGTTTTTACTTGTTTTTGGGGGAGAATACAAGTTGCTTTGTGTAGATCTATGTGTATATGCATGACTATGTGTGTTTTCCATGAATTATTTGGTGATTATGTGTTGATTACTTCATTAATCTAAAAATATGTTAAGAACTTGAAGTTTATCACTTGGATCTTCATAAGAACTTTGAGAAAAATATGTTTTCTCACATATATTACATATAAACTAGTAGATCTGGGATTTATACACTTAAATAGTAAAAATAAGTGTTGTGATCTAAGATCTATAAATTAAACTTATAAAACAGCCCTTGACAGAAAAGTTTTGGTCCAATCTCAAACTGTTTTGACCCCCTTAATGATAATATTTTTCAAAAATGTTTTACATGCAAAACGTTCATGTTTATACCTTTAAAATG